GAATTAACCTAATGTCTCTACAACGCACACACTGGAATTCACTATAATACGCTCAAATCCTTTTCAGGTCCTTAGGCGCTGGTAAGACCGCAGTCGAACCAGTTTTCATTTCCTCCTCCGCAATGCCGATTTAGCAGATCCATGAAATCGGCTCAATACGTAATACTGTTAACACTTAGTGTATTTTGATAATGTTAAGTCTATAGTAGTAATTAGTCAATAAAGCTTAATAAAATAGCTCGTAAAAAAATCAAACCTTTCAATTTTACTTAGCCATATAAAGTACGGTTAACGAGATTTTTCTTGATAAAAAAAGCCTGAGTTTTAAGCAGCAATAAACGTAAATTTCTTTCAGGCAAGCTTCAATTACAACTATATATCATTCTGATGGTTACGTACCTGAATAATACATGTAAAAAACAACAATCGTGCAAAGAAAGACGTAGTATCTATGGGAGAAAAAATGATTGGTTCCAGATCTAAAAAATTAGCAAACATAATTAAAATCAAACTTTCTAAAAATATTTGTTTCAGCTTATTATTTTATTTCAACAATGTACTCATATTGAAAATTTAATTCTGTAAATTTGTATTTGAAATGGAAAAATATTCTTTTGATATTTGTAAACGAGAATTCTTTGAGGGAGGCTAATAAAATTCTTTGTATAGAACAAAATTTTCTTCATTTTTACTTTATAATAATAAACGATGCACATATTTGAGTAAAACTCAAATATCACTAGGAATATTGGGGATATCGTCGTCTTTATCTATTAATAAAATAATAACGTTAAGCAAATATGTCTCTGTTAATGAATTTTTTTCTGTGAATTTCTGAACAAAATTAGCACACGTTTTCTCTGGTGCTGATATTTCATCAGTTTTACGAACGAATTCAGTTATTAATTGTTGTATTCGTGTTTTAGTTAGGCTTTTGTATAATTCACTGTAAAAGACTGTCAACAACTTCAAAGATTTCATATGCCTAAGCGGTACTAGTTAGGATCATGTCTGACAAAATGATTACCCAATTTTCTAGCCAATTCCAGACCTTTTTTTATTAATTTTGAATATAGAGTTGGATCATTTTCTTGGATATCATTTGGCTCTGTGAGATTAGGAGTATCACTGATAACATCTAATGTTTTATTATGTTACTTTGTCTACTAAACATTCATCAGTATCGTCAAACGATAAACCATTAATTCTTCTGCACCAAGTTGTGACTGTTGTTGTAATGATACTAGGAAATTCGGTAATATTAGGGATGATGGTATCTTTACTTTTTACACAACCACTTAAGAAGACGCATTCACTATTACTGGATTTAATTCAGTTAACTTTAATCCAAGATGAATGATTAAAAGGGGAAATAATTTTAAGAAATTATCTTCGCCTGCTCGTTATAAATCAAAGCCATACGAGTAAAAAGAGAATAAAGTATTCATTTTGAATTCGGGTTAAATATAATTTGTGTAAAACGAGTTCGTGTAAAAATAGAAATAGACGTACATAAACCTCTTGCACAAGCTACAATATAATCTCAGATATCCACATCAAATAAAGAATGTCCAGTGAAAATTAAAATTCTTATACTAGAGGTGTTCTTTATAAATGTTTGCTCTCAAGTCAGCTTTTACCCTTACTCTAATTTTCAGGTTAATTAACTCGAAACAGTTACTTATCACAAATGTTTCTACCTCCAAACTTTAGCTTAATTCCAGAATTAATATTAGTTTAAATTACATTAGAGAATGCAATAAGCTCAAGTAATCATTCAAAAGCTGTGTCGCAGTATTAGTTAATTTTGCTTTCAGTGCTTTCTGAATTGTATTTATCTATATACTAAAGGAGATCCTATTTCCATAGAAAGGGATAAGATAAGCTTAATTTCAAATAAAAAATTACTTAGTTAAGATTAGTGTATCTTAAAATGTGTTTTTTAGTTCTAGATACCGTACGAGAAATCTAAAGTTATGAACTACAAATTACGAATTTAATTCTAGCTGATATTATTCAAAATTTTGAAAATTATTTTCTAAATTTATAATTTGATTATTTTATTCACTAAATTTTTCGAAATCAGAAAACGTGAATAATATATGCCCTTGTCTGAGATTCGAAGAGTACTCCAGGGTCAAGTTGGATCGGATAACCATCTGCACCGCATTCAGATGAAAGAATGCAATAATCCTTCATATTCTCTCCCATCAAGAAACGACTAGGAAGAGACGCGATACCCAGGCGACTAAATCAGGTGATAACTAGTTATCATCCACCACGTATCAATTCGGGCGCATCGTTAAATTTTCAGATCCAGAGCATGTAAAAATTAAATCTGTCCCCATTGGAATTTAAATCACAGATCTTTTACAGGCTAGATAAATGTTCTAATCACTTTCACAAATACAGCATGCTCGAGGGGAATGCAAATATTCCTGACAATCTTTTAATTGTTATTAATTACAAAATTTTAATGTTTAAATTCTTCCTTCATGTGATCATCTGGATGATTCTTTTAAATGAATGCCTTTGAGAAACGCCTGCTTACACAATCAAGCATGAAATTTTAGAGCATTTTAGTTCATTCTCTAGAAGTAAAATTTATTCTACGTAACAGTTTACAGCAAGCATGATTAACTCCAGATTTAAAATATGTTATTCTATTTTCTTTTCTGGGCGAGAAAAACAAAAATTTAATTATTGCTGCTCTAGAACAAGCACTTGAAAACATATAAATTTATATATAAATATATGCTTCAATTATATCAAATAAATATTAAACTCGCTGTTTATTAAAATGATGCCAGCATATTTATTATTCGTATATCTTCAGTTAATTTTTAATTCTTCAAGACAATAACCATTTCCTTCTCGGTATACATTACTGGAAACAACTGCCAAAATATTTAGAATTCTACGGTGTCTGCTGCCATATCACTAGCAAAGACCTTAGATGATGTTGTCAACAGCAGGAACATGTATTCTTTAACACATTACAGATAAGCATGTAGTATTCCCTTCCATTCTATAATCCCTGTCACTGATTATTCAATTCCCTGAATGAAAAGGCAGAATGCTGTTTATTCACCTCAATTTGCTTTCAGAGAAAATTTACACAAAAGCTTCTTCAATATCTTTCTATCGGTATGTTTGCCAGAACAGCATGACGCTCGAATAGAATTTACTTTTATATCAATACGCCCGCATGAAATCATACTGAAGTGAATGTTTAACGATAATTGGATGTCTGTTAACGTAATTTAGTTTAATTTAATTTAATGAGAAACTGTCTTGTTCTTCTGTGCTTTAGGTAACTATTTTATTGAATATTCATGAGCAAAGGTCCTTTGAAAGGCGAAGAAAAGGCAAATAGTTTTACTTGAATTTTAAGTATTACAACTGTTTTATAGTTTGAAGGTGTTCCTGCATAATAACCGAAAGTCTCTTTGCGTTATCCAATGCATTTTTTGTATAATAATAATAATTTTTCACTGTTATTATTCTTATTCATCTGCAATAAGAATAAATAAATCTCTAAAATATTATTTTTTTAACCATGAATTAAAATTTCGAGTTTGTTAATATTTCTGATACTGAATGCAAATATATGATCACAATTTTCTTATCATACCAAGGTGTTTTATGACACATTATTAAAATGAAAATAAATATGTGTAACTCTGTATGTGCATCAAGGAAAGGAATTCTCTAACAGAATAGAAATACGCGACCGTTTTACGTATTTATACTCAATAATATTTCTTTTAAGCTAATATCGCTTACCAAAAATATTTAGGACAACCAGCACTTTAACACAACGCTTATATAAGTTGTTATATAAAGGAAAATGAATGTTAGCTGTTATTCTGGACGACAAGGATCAAATATCTGGGACCAGTAGTAAGATTATACTAACTAACACTGAATAATCTTCCTACACCCTCTCACGGATTCTTGTCCCTTCTTCAACTTAGAATTCAATAATAGAATGTGATTACACAAAGTGTGGTAAATAGTGGAACCATTTATTTATATTATGGCCTGAAGTTACGAAAACTAAATTGCTCAATAAAAACTTAACATTAATACAGTTCTTTGCAAATCAAGTATTGAATTGGTGAATAAGGGCCAGGATCATGTGTTAAAGCGTCTTTTAAGCAACTAATACAAGTAAAAGCGAATCTTAGTAGTAATCACCATAGCACCACAAGCAGAAACCTAGAATGAAAAAAAAAGTGCATTTCCTCCTCGTGGATCCAAAATGTTTCAGACTGCTCATTTTCACCTATATAATGTTTCTATCTCATAACCCTTAGTTAATTTACATTTCTGGTGAAGCTCATAAAAAGAAAAACTGCAGGAAATATTTAATAAAAAAGTAACATGCTAATTAAAACAGGAATATAAATAAAGCATAAAATGGATAGAGGATTGCTGAAATGGAGCAATTTGAAATCTTTTGCGAAAGGGAAGAAAAGGTTAACCGGTAGAAAATTTGTTCTAACGAACGTTGGGTTGTTCTGAACTGGTCCTTAATAATTTATATGTGATACTAGATCCATCAAATGTCAGAAAGTATACCGGTCAGTGATCTTGATATAATTTCTCTGAATCAGAATTTTTTTAATTAAGCAAGTATATTTTTCTTATATGTATAAATAAGAATGTTTCGTATTTTAAAATCTTACACTTTTATGAATTAATGCTTTCATAAGTAAACTATTCTTTAAATAATACGAAATACTCTTATTCTAAAATGTGAAATATTAATAGTCAAACTATTTCCCGACTTAAAAAAAAATTTATTATTTTTACTATATTATGTGTAATTAATAAATTAAATAAAAAATTTTCAAATATTGGAATAAAATAAAATGAAATATTACATTGAAATAAAATAAATACCTTGTGATTTAATAGTTTGTTAAAATCAAAAACCATTTTTAGAAAGAAGAATTTTCCTGCAGTATTTATTTACCTATACTTTGTTGTTATTTTTAGGTATATTGTATACTCTGTGTCATTTTCTCAGTATCAACAGTAACTGGCCGGAAGAGGGCGGGCAGGCCAAGGAGCGAACTGCCCGGTAAGTTATCCGTTTTAATTAAAAAATTAAATTTAAAAAAAAATTATTTTATTTTACACTGCAATGCTTTTTCTTCGCTTTTCCTTCCACGAGGTTTCTTACGACGATGTTTTCCCCTCGTGTTGTTTTCACAGCAATGTTTTCGACGGATACCGAAAATACCGCAGAGGAGGTTTTCAGTGCCAAAGTAACTGAAAATAAAGCTAGATTTATAGAATTTAAAATTTATAGAAATTTATACAATTAAAAAAAAAGTCACATTAGCTACTCTAATCTGGCAATGTTAAAAAGTACTAGCATTTTCTTCTTTCGACAGATTATATAAAATTCGAAGCATCATCAGGTATTTTCAAGTTCTAAATGTTAAAAAATATTAATAGTTTTCCATCATTTATCATGTTTGTAAGCGCTTAACCTTACATAACTAACTATACATAATTACTCAACAAATAGTATATATGTATATAGATGTATTATTATCCAGACTTCTGAACGGAACTAAGATCCATTAAATACAACATCTTTAAACTTTGAGGCATTACACCCTTTCATCTAAAGACACTAATTTCTCTAAACTAACATAAAAACTATGATAAATTGCATCTCGAAAATGCTCTTTCAAAATCTTTTGAAGAATAAGGTATAATTCGATATAATTACTCCAGCAAAAGATTTGAATTTTTCTATCCATTTATTATATTTGTTCAGAACATATGATCAATAAGAATATTTCCTAAGCGGAGCCATCTTTGCGATCGGAAAACGGGGGCATCACTTTCAGGAAGACATAACAAACATTGTAATATCCTTATACCATCAAATTGATCGCAATGATCAATTCTCGGAGGAGCTTTGATAAACATCACGCACACAAGGCTTGTCGTAACAAACGTTATATAGGTAAATAATATTTCCGTACTCACGCGAGCTGCACTCTTAAAATTTCCAAAATTTTCTTCAAGTATTATAGTGCGCAGTTAGAACAAAGGAGTATTTCTCTTTGAAAGTATTAAGGAACATGTATGCAAGAGTCAAGTATTATTAACGAAGATAAATTTTGAAAATCCAGAATTCCTTAATTATTTTGTTTTGCTGTGCGTTCAAACAAATTTAGAGTAAGCTCAGTTTTATTTCTGTAAATATTGGCATATAGTTCAAGCTTACAAATTTCCTTAGAATAAATTTCCTTAGAATTTACAGTTCAGAATTTTGAAACTGTTGTCAACAGCTTTAAAAGTCAACTTTTTGAGGAATGATGGACTGTATAAATTTCAGTTTCATTTCTAGTAAAGCACAATTTTATGCGTTTCTCATTTAGGCGTCTTTTACATTTATTTATTATACTTTTCGTCTATGTTCCTATTCGTTTCGTTAATAGTAAACTATTTTCTTTATACTATGCCCAACTCCAGCTATGCATAGTTTCTTTTTCTGATTTATTCATAGATATATCTCTTTGCAACTCATTTAGTTTTCTCAAGGATCATTTTTTCCGGTAGCATCTGGAAGTTATTATACTTTGTTACTTTAAAACAAAAACTTCAAGATCCTTCTGTCTTGTCTCATGATCATTATCATGATAAGGCAGCAATCGTTTCCATGGTTACGAAGCAAAACAGGAAGGAGAAATAGCTTTGAAGTGCCTATTCTAAAGTCACAGACTAAAGTTGTAGACTCAAATACAGGCAGAGAAAAAAAAGAATTAGGCATCTCAGATTAGACATTTTAGCTGGTGGGTAGAAGAAGGTTGCTTGAATGGTTAGAATGAATAATGTCATTCTAACTTTCTAAGTAACCCTTCAAGCGTGTCCGACAACAGTGATTTGACCAGAAAGGTTTCTTGATGACTTCATTTGGTGAGCATATTTTAGCTGCACTTTTGTTAGTTACTTTTAATACTTTGCTTAAAACTCAAAATATCTAATGGTACATAAAATTATACCTGAAGATTTTTCTTTAACAACACTTCTGCTTATCCTGTAACGTTTATCTGAAAAAAAGTGTCGTTTTTCAAGATAATCAATTGAAATAAAAGCATAGTTTTCATTTCTAAATTTTATAGAATTTGAGATTATAACTCTTTTAACTTTGTTAAAATATAGGAATCATTATATATAAATTAAAAGAACGATGAAAATTTTACGTTTGTACAGCAGCAGTAGTAGAGTAAAAAGATTGAGATCCTACTGTCAAAATCCACTTATCACATTGTAAGGATTATATTAATTTATCTAACAGTTAAATTTTATGTTAAACTTCCTTTCCTATCATTTCTGAATATTCAACTTACAACTTACGGCCAGAACCTAGTTTTACAATGACGTTTGAATGCAAATTGAGGAAGAGAGGTATTTAACCGCGAAGTTCTACTGTCTTAGTTAGAGAGAACCAGAGGTTATGGCTAGCATGCGTCCGTCTTTTTAGGCTACTCGCTCTTAAGCTATTATTACGTTCGGCTGTACTTTAGGCCCTTAATAGCTTCGCACTCAATTAGCGTTAAGAGGCCAACTCCGTTAGAATCTTGATAGCTTCGGCTATATCTTTTTAGTTAAGATTTAATTCTTAGTTCCTAAGTTCAAGCTCGAGTGTCGGCTTTATTCTAAAACTCCAAGGCGGAGTTCTTTAAATCTTATTTGAATAATAAAGGGTTTTTTTAACCCTTTCCAAGTTTCAATTGTCTCACGAACTCAAGCGATTATTCGCTTACTAGTGCTTAAGATTCTTCACTTTCAACTGTAACTTACACACAGTAGTACACAGTAAGTACACAGAAGTACAAAGCAGAGAATCTTACATCATTCATAAACTGATATTTCAAACAGACGTTTTCTTATAAGCATGTTTTCCATTTCCATATATTGCTTGAATAGGGGGTTAAAGGGTTTTTTTATTTCATGTTATCCCAGTAAATATCCATACTTTAATTAGACAAAGCAAAAGTTTTCATACTTTTGAGTACAAAATTTGAAGTGTATGAGAAAATACATTGATTTAGCTAATATAGTCTCACAGCTAATATCGATTTACTTAAAGATAACTAGAAACAAAAATACAATGAACAGCATATTTATTGGAAATTTCGCTATACAGAAATCCAATAAAAGGCTTGGTTGTTTTTTCTTTTTTTGAAAAAACCTCCGCGCTCACAAGGTCGGAATGGTTTTAACAAAATTCTGTAACTTATTCTTTGTAACTGGAAGCATATCTGAAATCAATATTTAAGAAATAAAATCCGTAGATACATTTTTTGAAATCCAATGTATACCACCCCATATATCTATAATTAGACATATCAAAAAGCGGGATAAGCTTTCTTTTTTAAACTCACAACAAAATTATTTACGGTGCTTAGACTTTTAACGAAATTCCCGCATTTTTCTCATAGAATCTCAACCTGTTCTTTAAAAGACAAGAAAAATTCGACATTTGCCTTTCGTAGTGGCTTCAGCAACAGAATATTGCAATCGCACAATTTAGGCTTAAGAAAATACGATTAGTTGCTAAATGTTGTAAATATTTACAAAACCAAAATTGACTTGTGTGAACGATAAATCGACAATTCTTCCAATATCGGTACAACAAGCTATTCTATAGATATGGAGATGGAATTTAATATAATTTTGGATTTATTTAATATAATAGTGTAAAAATTTATTTAAAATAATAGCATAATTCAGCCGAACTTATTTAATGTATATATTTACTATCGTATTAATTAGAATAATCAGTTTCAAGTTAAAACTAGAATTAGTAGCCAAAGACTACACAACTTAAATATACTCTAAGCTGGCTGAGTAATTTTACCGGCGTATTAAATTCAAGTATCGGCAGCAACATAACGCACAGACAGACTTATCAACGTTGGCAGGAACTACATGTAGTGTGTAAGCACAAGAACAATACGGCAAGCAAAGAAACACGCTTTGTCTTGCAATCTAAAAACCTCAGTTTAAATACTTGCTAATTCATTTACATTCTGATTCAAGAGAGAAGCAAAAAGGAGAAATTACAGTAATGCTTCATATCATAAAAACTTGACTCATTTAAATAATAATAACTGTAAATGTTAAAAACATATTTTTGTTCGATTCTTTTCCATTTGCCCTCTCTCGTATGCCTTATTGTTAATTTAGAAATACATAATACAAAAGAAATAACTGTTAATGATGTAAGTAGATAGTTAAAAAGATTTGCGTACGCAATGCGCCTACAAAGCTTGAGAGTTAATTTGTATAAAATCAAAAGATGAATAAAATAACATTCTTATTGCTTAGGATCCAAATTACAATTTTGTGAGCTCACATCTGTATATAACTTCTTGGTTCCTTTGTAGAAATTTTCTTTTAGAATAATATTTTAGTTTTCAGATACGGTTTTCTGAAACTGTTCAGTCTATTAAAATAGCAACTTTTGAGGTGAGACCTTTATACCAAGAAAGAGAAAGTATTCTGCATACACGAAATCTAGTGAACGAAGGCGTAGTTCAAGATTGAAGCATTTTTCTTTGCTAGAAACTGTTTGATTTGAAAGGAATTGTGTGATAGCACGCTGTTGTGCAACAGAAACTAGTTATTCGATTAAGATTTTTCAGACGTAAAATATACTGATTCTCTTCAAAGGGTTACATGCGAAAACCTCTCGGACGTATATGTCATTGACGAAGCAACGGAATGGGAAATTTATTTACAAAACCTCGTAGAAGAAAGGAGAAAACGTCGTCGTAAAAAGCATCGTAGTAAAAAACGAAAGTATCTATAAACTGCATGGTGATAATACAGCAAAGACAGTTTTGTAGACTTTATGTTCACATAATACAATATCTGAGCGCAAGAAGGAACGAAGACTATTTTTCCTCTATATTTCACAATTCTGAATTAGCTAATAAACACATACAGATGGAAGCAAGATGGAAACTTAAGCATTCAAATACTGAAAATTAATATAAAATTAAAGCTGCATATAACAGCTGATATAATTTTAAACTTAGTTAATGACTGAAG